TGTTATGTTCAGAAAAGTCAATTGTTTCAGTTTTGACTCATTGGCTAAGCTACTTTATTTTAATATTTATTTTAATAAGGCTTGTCAGTATTTTCTGTGGTTTTGTCTAAACCTGTCTCTCAGAACACTGTCACTGTCCACAACGTGGCCAGTTTTACCCCTGTTCCAGATGGTCGCCTTCCAGATTGACTGAATTCACCAGCTTCCCATGTGGGATAAACTTTTTCTGTTTGAAGACAAGTTTGTTTCCCAGGCAAAATAAGGACCAAGGTGTTTGGACACAATGACAAAAGTTGTTAGCACTGTTAGTTTATGAATGACTTGGAAGAAGATTTATTGCAGTTTATTTTTACATTTTTGACAATGTAAAACATGTCAAACATGTTTGGTCTAAACTGACTATTTTTGTCTAAATAGTCAGTTTAGACAAAAACATGTTTTTTATCCTGTGAAGAAACTTGTTTGACCAAGCTTGTGCTGTGCTGGTACAAGATTATCAAATAAATGTATTATTCAGCACATTCATATCTGTGTTTTGAAAAAAGAAACTGTTTTAAATCTATTCAGGACTGTTTTTCTGTATCAACCAGTAATAAAGCCCAGTATCAGAAGTGAAAAATGCATTCCTCCATCCCTAGTCTGTGTGTGCTGGTTTGTGAAAAAATAGTTCCACTCCCAAGGTCTAGCAACATCATTTCCCCAATGATTTGTGTTCAATATTCTATTTTCTATCTGTTTTTCTTTCCTTCTTATTTCTGAGATCCATTGTTAATTTTTGATTTGATATTATACTGATGCAAGAAGAGCTTGGATTCAAATCCCAGCCTGGGGTCTTTCTGCAAGGAGTTTACTAATCTTACGGTGTTCCCAGTGTGTGTGTGTGTGGACCTTTTGTACTGCAGAATCTCAAACCGTCTCCTGGGAACCAGAAGAACCAGGTTCTGGGTCTTCTTTGTACATAGAAAATATATATTTTCTGGAAAGGTTCTCCTCTTTCCAGATACTGTTAGTCAGAGGTGGGTAGAATACCATAACAATGTAACTAAGTAAGAGTAGCACTACTTCAGCATGTTTTCACTCAAGTAAAAATGTAACTAACAGTCCAAGAAATTACTTAAGTAAGAGTGAAAAAGTATTTTGAAAAAAGGCTTGTCAAGTACTGAGTAACTGATCAGATCATCTGATTTGTTTTTTTAAATGTCATAAGGCTGACAGAAACTGTAAATTCATGTACAAATTATGTTATTTTAAAAACTAACATGAAAAGAATTATAAAAGAAATATCATGATTACAAAACTACAGACTTGGGCATAAGAAATATTTTTTCCAAATCAATTTTTCTTCTAGAAAAAAGCCCTTTTAAAGTAGCCAGAAATGCAAATATACTGTATGTTAGAACAGGGTTAAGACAGTGCCAAATGCCACAGCATGCAAAGCAGAACTTCAAAATAACTTAAGCTGTGAATGTGTCTGGCTCTGATGGAGTTTTGTCCTTTTTTCATTCATTGACATTACCCAATGAATGAATTGAAGTTAAAAAGTTTGTGGCTGACATAAAATTTCTTTCATATCAATTCAAAATATTTCATGTGGACAAGCTCCTGTAACTTTAGTTTGAGTCAACAACAGAATGTATTTCCTGCATGTTTAACATGTCACCAGTTGCAATTCAGGGCAAGGGTGTACTGTTACAAACCAGTCTGAGCACATGCTTCATAAAAAGCCCCTAATAAAAAGATAATTTTGTTATAGCTGCTTTTGTCAAATGAGGAACACTTTGCTGACTGGCTGAACTAAGAGTTTAAAATTGAGCAAAATTGTTTATCAGCATCTGTTTATCAGCAAATTGTTTATCAGCATCTTATAGACATCACAAACAAGGATTAAATGTGAAAAATGGCAAACATGACCTGAATTTGCACTCATCTTGCAACATAAAACTAAAGTGAGTCAAAAGAGGAAGCAGTTGTATCTGTTCAAAAGTAAGCATAAAATGACTAGAAAAAGCAATGACAGCAGATGACATTTCACATCAAACACTGTGTATTTAGACCATAATTAGAACATAATTACACTAACAGACAGAAGGATTGTTTACATCAAAGGTTTTGAAATACTATCAAGCAACTTGTAGATGCCTCCATGTGCTAACACATCTGAAGGAAATGGCAGAATTCCATCCTCAACATTCAGTCATTCAGTTCTGCAGAAGCTTGATAACAATCTATTGATATGATCCAGGTTCTTTGGAGCAGGGATGTATCAAAAAGTTGCAGGATGATAGCTGTCGAAGGTCCCTATTGCAAAGATTTAATTTGCAAGGAGGTGTCATTGTCAAGAGTGGCCACCAGAGAGCATCAGTGCAAACATCACGCATGGAAAAGTGGTGCATTTACCTGACTATCCAGTAAGTCAGCCTTAAAAGGCATTAGACAGTATCTGCATCAGATGAGTTTGCTGTAAAATTATATTCCATGTGTACAGACTCCTTACAACACAATATGTGTGGGTGCTCCCAAGTACCCATTGGCTCCAACTAAAGGCAAATATGGTATCTTTATGATCACAGTAATGATAAGAATGAAGCACACTCTCAATTATAAGATTTAGCATATTTGAACCACCTTTAGCAGCAGTAGCTGTTGATAGTCTTTCTCTCTAACTTCTTCAGTCTTTCATTATGGAGGAACTTTGGCCCAATTTTCTATCCCACTTTGTTACAGTTCATTGATATTTGCAAACATTAATTTCTTCATATTTCTGCTATTGTCCAATAGTTGCATTTAAGATGGACTTTTATGGTTTTTTTGAGACATTGTGCTGTAGGTTTCTGAAATGTTTGAATATTTTCTTGTTGATGACCCTGTTTGGATCAGGTTTAAGCTGACAGATAGCATTTGAGTCTAGAAAACCTTGGTAAACACACAAGACACTGGGAAACTCAATGACAACATGGCACCAAGGTTCATAGCTGTAAAACAACCCACAAATCTGGTATGTGTGCTCATACTTGATTTTTTTTTTCTTCCAAACATGGTTCTGTGCATCAAGGTCAAACATTTCTACTCTGAACTCATCTGATCAAAGAGCGTTGTTCCAGAAGTCTCATGATTTGTTTAGATCCAACTTTGCAAACCTTAGTCGTGCTGCTTTTTCCTTCAGTCTTTCAAACATCCAAGCCATACTCTTTCAATTTATAATGAGAATTTTAACAACTAACTTCCTAATCAAGCCCTGAAAGGTTTGGAACATTTTCAGTGGTCTTACATGTTTTCCAGTTCTGAGAAATATTTCAGCACATTCAGAGGAGCCAGATGAAGTGGTTCTAGCATCTGGTTAGGTGGTTTCCTTGTGGAGTGTTCAGGGTTACATCCCACCAGGAGTAGACCCAGAGGAAGAACTAAGACATCTCAACCATCTGAGGAAGGACTATACTGGAAATGATGGATGGATGGACAGAAAAATATTTTTGCATTATAGAATGATAGATTTCAAATATTCTGAAAACAAAGTAATCCTTCATGAAATGGGCAGTAGAGGTTGCTATTTTACAGCCGTAACTATAAGACTTTTTTGTGGTACCAGTTTCGAACATGGAGTAGAGCTGCACAATATTCAAATAACATTGTGGGAATAATACTGGAAAATATTGTGATGACAGTGTCAGTTATAATAACTTATTTTTCTCCTTGCTGATGCCCATGTGTGCCTTCAGCCCTCACTGAATCTTGTTGCACCTTGAACAATTTGTTCTGTTTGTTCTGTGAATGCCAACCGGACGCAGTCTGATAATTTATTGGCAAAAAAAATTCATTCTAGTCAGTCCTTTGAAATATTAATATTATATTGCGACAACAGATTCTCAGTTGGATTTAGGTATGGACTTTGACTAGGTCTCTCTAAAAATTTTATATGCTTTGATCTGAACCATCCATGGGAGGGGCTCTTTGTTCAGGTTTGTTTACTATTTCCTTCCAGGACTTTTCCATCCAACCTTCCATCAACTATGACCAGCTTTCTTATCCATGCTGACGAAAAGCATGATACTGCCAACATTATTTTTCAACTTGAAATAACTTTCTTTACAAATGTATTGGGTCAGCGGTTTATTGTTCCTTGATGTTTGTGATGCTGCATATTCACTAAATTCTTTAGAGAACTAGTATATTTATACTAAATTTAAACTACACAGGGAACCTTCTGAAAGCAGTTAATTGTACTGTATGATTTTGGTCTGTCAGAGGTTGAATATGATTGGATGATTTAAATTTTTACTTCTTTTTATAAATGCGTAATTTCCCTTCAAGTTTATTATGGATTGATATGATGCTTGTGAGTGTAACAGGGTAACATGTGAAAACGTTCAATGACTATAAACTATTTTGTAGCTATAGCCTATATTAAAAACATCAAGCAGAAAGTAAAATAAGATGGATTTAATACGGTTATTAATGACTATTATTCTTTTTCTTTTGCCAACTGTAAGAAGGAAACTTCTTTGTAAACAGAAAAACAATAATGGGGAGAATAGATACGTATGTTCAGCTTTACTCTAAGCCAAGATTTGGCTTTTAACGATCTAGGCTGATAAACCAAGTGTTAAGGCTGCTAACTTTAAAAAAACGTGTTGTGTGTGAATGCACTTTATTAACATCTTAAGTTAATATAGGTGACGTGATTGCACAGAGATGAACGGTTTGACAATTTCAGAATATCAGCGAGATTGTGCTGGTAAATTCAAGAACAATGTAATGGATTTTTATTCAATTTTAGATTTTTTTTTTATCTTAACCCCGCCCTCGAATTCCGTTTCAGTCGGAAATACGTCATGTTAGTGAAGTAAAAATGCTCCCCTTTAAATGTAATTTTTATATGGAGTTGTACTCTGTGGCAAACTTTGGCCACACCTAGATCCCGTGCCATTTCCACCCATTTAAAAAGAGAAAAAAAGTAGAATAGAAGAAAAGCCTTTCTTTTTTATTTTTTTCCCTCCTCCTCTGTGGTGCGTTTGTTTGCGTGTCGGCGTGTCCCGGCGGTGTAACCGGAGAGAGGGGCCTCACTAAGAGGGAATGCAGGACTGCAATGGAGCACAATGCAATACAGGTAACGCCGATATAATTTCTAAATAAATGTCGTTTGTATCCGTTATTGAACGCAGATTTTACCATACATTGACCCGGGGATATTTTAACCATACGTCTGTGTAAAATCGAGTCAATTTCCGCGTTTATTTTAGCCGAATTTAGCCGTGTCGTATTGATTGTTTTCCCATATCAGCCACCGAGAGTTGGTCTGACTGCAATTAGAACTTTATTCAGCTAGCCTCAACTTTTTTTTTCAACCCCCCTCTTCCACCTCCGGAGGTGGCAGATAAACGGCTGATATTTGTGCTTTTCAGGCCGAAATAAACTGATTATTTCTTTGGGGCTGTTGCCTGGAAGGCAGCCGTTAAATTTCTGTTTAATATCGCAGATATTTTCTCCGTGTTAATGATTAATTTCTTTGTGTGTGAGTGTCGTGTCGACATTATTCTCCCGGCTACCAACCCCCACCCGCATTAGCTTGAAATAAAAATAAAAATTTCTGCCCTCCTTTTTTTCCTCCCCCTGGCTGAAAATATCAGGAAACTTTTTCAGCTCGGTCACATTTTTAGCTAACCGCCGCGTCGCCATTTTTATTTCTTTTATATAAAAATATATTTTTACCGACGCAATATTGCACATTCAAATATATATACATATTATCTCGACATCGACTTGTAGGTGGAGGAGCAGTTCGTTGAAATAATAATAATAGGAAGCAGCATATTGATATTATTATCACCAAAGCCACCCCGACATTTTGTCTCCAGCAGTTTTTAAGGAGGAATGTTAATATTGTGTACGTTTCTGTACTTGAAATAACTGGTTTATTGTCCTGCCTTAAAAAGCCAAGAAACATGCAGAGGACACTCGGACAGGGCGATAAATAGGTGTGAGTGGTTACTTAATATACAATTTATTTAGACAGAAATATATTTATTTTAGTTTGGCTGTGTATTTTTAATAATATCCTTGTTTATATATTAATTCAGGAGAGAAATGGAGATCTTTTATATATTGTTTTCCCCAGAGGTGAAGTTGTCAGTTTTTTTCAATAACAGGATATAGCCAAGGTCAGTAGTACTAGCTTGATTTTATTTGTTGGTTTATTTATTCACTGTACAAAGCATAGGACATTTTATTATTAATATTCATGCATAATTTCCTCCTTCCTCTTTCGCTCTTGTTCTGAAAACTGTACTTTAAAAAAATGTGAGAAATATCACGAGAACTGACGCAGGCATGGTGCAGATTAAGGGTTTCCATCTTAAATTCCTGTGTGTGTGTGTGTGTGTGTGTGGTGTGTGTGTGTGTGTGGTGTGTGTGTGTGTGTTCACTGCTCAGATTATATTATGTGGCTTTTATTTTCCTGCCTGCCACTAGGCTGGAGCAATGCTTCAGCTGGCCCTCCCCCAGGCCCACAAAAAAAAAAGACTGGAGCTCTGTGATATCCATACAACATGGCCCACTGCATAATAGTATGTTTATTACCCAGCCTGCTCACTTTATGATGGTATTTATCATGCATCGTCATTGTAATCAAGTTAAATACATGCACACTGCAGATTTAGGGAGTTAAACAACACATAAATTGCTTTCTTCTAGTCTTTTTCTTTGTTTCCCTGCTCATAATTACACTTCAGCCATCAGAGAATAAATAAGCTACATGCCGATGGTGATCTAGGCCAAAAGCTTTTTTGAAATCCAGCTGATGGCTAAAATTGCCTGTTTCTACAATATTCAGAAGTTATAGTAAAGATTATTCTGTGCATAGCAAAAGACTGGCAGCCATTTTATGTTGCTGTTTTGCAAAAAAGAACATGGAAAAACAAGTCAAAATCTAAATGAATAATGTTACTGGTACAGCTATAAAAAAATAGTTACTCATTTAGGCAACACAAAAAGGTAATTGTTAAATGTGACCAGTTTTTAGAAATGTTTAGTTTGCAAATCAGATGAACCATGCAACCATTGGGTTTACATGAGGCTTTATTTAAATGGTATTTAATGTTTAGAGTTTGTAATTAAGTGCATGGCGTCTTGAAAAATGAAATTGATAGTCTTATAAAAAAATCAGTTCAGTCAGTATAAAGGGAAAAATTCTTTTAATGTTGAGCTCAAGAAGGAAATATTATAATCAGAAGGCAATAATAAATGAGCTAACAAAACATTAAAAAAAGTAAAAGTAATGGTGTACATTTTAATTCAGTCAATGGGGTGGCTAAAAATATTTTTTAGAATTTAAAAATAACATTAATAATTCAATAAAGTTTAAGTATTTAAGTTTATGAATACAATTTCACACTGACAGTTTATTATATAAAAAAAGCAAGACTGTAGAATACCAATCACCATAAAATGCACTTGAAAACTGTTTTTATTTCTAGTTTGACTGGCAATACAATATGAATAACATAATAATTTTAAACTCTTTTCTTACTTTCTGGTAATTTTCCTGCAACTATCCTGAAACTGAAATGATTAACTGGTAAATATATGGACTGAAATTTAGCCCCACACATATCTTGTAAATGCAAAAAAAAAAAAAATTGTAATTAGTAATTACACTCAATAGGTTTATGATTGCTTTAGTTTTGGTAGATGTGCATTATATCTGTTTTTCTTTAAAAAATTAAGTGTAAGTGTTGAAATGACAAAATAGTCAATAAAGCTAAAAATGACCAATTTAAAGTTCTTTTGAATCAGATGTAACATTTTGGACAGAAACTATTTTTCTGGCAAGATTTTGTTATTAATTAATACGTATGTTATTGTTATGTATATAAACAAATAGAACTAAGATGAATAGCTGACTCTGTTTATTACTAATTTCATATTTTTTATCTTTTAAACTAAAATAGACATATCAACCTCTTCACCTGTTCATTCAGATTTCATTCAAATTTCTATGAACCTGTTCATTCTTCACCTGTTCATAGAAATTGACATTTAAAAAATGTAAACTATGTTTCTTTCTTTGTAGTTCTTCAAAGATTTAGTAACATGACACTGACAAATATTTGGGACTTTTGAAAAAAATAAGTTCAATCATTAAATTTCTGTTGCATATCAACTCTCCTGCCTAAAAACTTTTTTTTAAATGTGATTTTTCGTTTTTAGAAAAAGCCTTTTAATCTTATTGTATCATTCTATAGTTTATTATTTTAAGCAGTTTACAATTTCTGGCTGTCATTTTTATGTTGAGGCATTAAGCTTACATTTATTACCTTTGGAGTGTTTCTTGTTTAAGTGCGGAGGATGGGGGACATTTGCTTAATATATATATATATATATATTTTTTTTTTTTTTTACATAAGCTGACTACAAGCATCTTTGCTGCATAGTGCATTTCACTGGCAGAATTATTCCTGAAAGTTGGGTTGGTAATTGATGCATTTAACAAAGCACAATGCTAGGAGAGTGCACCCATCACACCGCTGGTACCTCTCTGTGTTGGCTTCTTAGCGCACAGTCACAGCTGGATTTCCGAAGTTTACTTCGGCGTGGATTGTGTTTGCCTCCTTTCACTCAAACTGGGCACAGGCTCACCTGTATTGAGATTTATATCAATCCCCTGTGAGAACTCATGTTTCTTTGGAGAATTCTTTATCAAGGTATGAGACAGATTTCAAAGCCAATGTGTTTGCTCTGCTTGCGCAGCTTATTGTGAGCTGCAAATATAGTTGCGCTTTCAGACGTGTGCGTTGTTAATATACGTTACGTGAACAAATAATTCTGTGCGATGTTTACGTTTGCATCTCACACACGCTTTCTGTTGGCTCTGTGTCTGCGCTGATAAAGTTTACTTGTCTGTTCCTTGGTGCATTTGTGGGCCAGTAGTTCAGCCCGTGGAGAAGCTGTTGAACTTGTCTTATAGTCACGCAGCATGCTGGTTTTATTTGTTTTTCCTTTATAAGTTTTGCGGTGACAAGATTCGTCAAACTGTGCTGTATCAAATGCTTTGTCTATTTACAGTAAGGGTTTTCGAAAAACCCATCCCATAAAGCTCTGCCAACTAAACCAGTCTCTGTGGCAGTTGTTAAAAACTCAACAGGCACAAAATAGAAGAATTACTCAAGCAGCATAAATTCATCTCCCTGTTTGTCCCTCTGTATCCAGCAGAGAGATGCACAGTGCAGCAGATTTAGTTCCTCATGCAGGGCCAGCCCAAGGTTGTTTGAGGCCTTGAGCAGAATTTGATTGAGGGGTGAATTTGATTTGCTACTAAGAACATCAGCAGGTCTAACAGCTTTTCAACATAGATTAAGAGAAATCTGGAAGAGGGATGGTAGTTTAATTGGCCAAACTTAAAAGCAATCAGCTATAACTATAATTTACTGAGCTGTATTAACAAACAAATGTTACTGTCTAAAATTTTTCAGAAAATAGTAAAAGTGCATCAAATTGTATCGAATTGTATGGTTTGACAAATATCGTGATATAAATATATATCGTGATCAGAATATTGTATATTGTATCGTATAGTGAGATTATTGTGCCTCTACACCCCTACTTCCAAGTGGGTACAGTTTAAACATTGTGTTAACATTTTATGGTTACCAAAGTTTAAAAGTACAAAAACAACCACAATGTTCAGTGTTGGAGTTTTAAAATTAATAGAGGGGACTTCTTTCTACCTTATTTTAGGAGTGTTTAATATGATAAAAATTATGTTGCAATGTTTTGTTGTTGTTTTTTTTTTTGCCAGTTCTTAGTGAATGATGCAATTTATATAGGGCTTGAGATATTCCTGTAATATGGGCCAATAGATCCATATTAGGCCAGAACCAGTTTTCCAGGTTTTGTCATGTACTGGAGAAAATGTGATTTTCTTTTGTTTGTTGTTACTCTACACAAATTTATCAAAAATCTCTAAGAACCTGAAGTAGTTTTTTTCTTTGTTGTGCTTCTTTTAGGGGAAGGTGTATCCACAAATATTCAAGGTGTATCCACCTAATGCATCAACTTGCTGCATTAATTTTATGCAGCAAGTTGATGCACGTTGCTTGAAATGTTCAAATT